CGCTGCCTAAGGATACATAGTGTGCCGTTTTCGCGTCATCGATTGGACTACCGTCCTTGGAAGGTCACGCCCAAAACCCGTTCTCGGCCCCGCATCTCCCATCACTGGTCAGAAAGTGGAGCATCACCACCACCACATTCCAGCTCCCCGCCTCGGTCATATCTAGGTGTCAGGCATCTCCGTCTGATTCCTGTCTCCTTACTGGTGTCGTCCCAACACACCACCGCGGCTCGTCCATACACAGCTAGTTGCTCGCGTCAGCGGTTCGTCCTGCCGCAATGGCTCCGCCTAGGAAAGAGGAATGGGACGAAGATGAAGATGACAGAGGGCCGCCCTGGCCCACGGAAACTGAAAGCGATGATGAGATAACGGTTTCTCTGGTTCCAGTCGTTATCCCAACCGCTGTTCCATCGATTGAACCAACGCCGTATACTGCGATGCCGTCGATCACCCAAGTCCAAGTAACGAACAGTGCATGGAACTCCGAACTCTTCAGCCAACCCTCGCCGCCTCCCAAACCTGTTCTACCAAACGAAAGACCACCTGGGTATCCGTCGAACCGTCCCTGGCCTCCTCCTCCATACGGACCCACCCCTTCATCTCAAGACTGGCAAACCTCCGCTTCTGCAACAACACCATACGCCGACCACCTACCCACAACCTCGCCATGGACAACGTCAACGTTAACATTCTCGCCCGATTCCTTCGGACCACCATCCCCAACAAACATCTTTCCAGGCGCAACCTTGCCTCTACCTGAGAAACACACGAATAACACGCCCATCTACGCCGCCGCAGCCATCATACCCATTGTTGTCCTTGCAATCATGGCCAGCGTGATCTTCCTCTGCGTGCGCAAACGAAAGAGACGGCGTGCCGCTGCTCTAGCCACCGAGCGCGAGGTGCAGGAGATGAAAATGACGACTCCATCACAGACATCGCAAAGACATGGGAACGAACACGTGCACCCATACATCGCACCACCACCCTCCCATCCTCCCCCAGTCCTTCCCCCAATCCCCTCCATATCACAACACCAACGTAACTCCCACCTCCTCCCCCCAACATCAACCCCCTCCGCCTTCCACCCCATCATCCTCGGCCCCATCTCCCATTCCAACTCCAACGGCGCCTACCTGACCGGCATGGATACCTCAGACATGGTCTCTGTGTCTTCCAACACGATACAACCGATTGAAGATCCTTTCGGCGACAATAGTAGTTTGAATGAGCCGCCGCCGCCGTATCGACCTTGTAGTTTGCCGCCGCCGAGTTTTGTCTCGGAGGGGGGTGCGCCACCTAGTTTCACGACGAATTCGCTGCGTAGTGCTGGGCCGCCTAGCTTTACAACAAATTCTAGGCACAGTAGCTTGAGAGAGGGGGTGGGCGGGTTTGGTTCTCAGGCGCATCTTATCGAACGGAGTCCTTTTGATGATCCGGATGATGGGGTGTCGGAGATTAGTGGACCGACACATGGGGGAAACGGAAATGGAGACAGCATGTCAGCTGTATCGGATCTTTCGTACCAGCGAGAGACGTTTGATGAGTTTAGTAGGAGGGGCTTTTCTTAGGTAATGCAGGGTAGTGGGTTGGAGGGTTCTTTTCTTTCGACGTGTATATAGTTTTCGTGGAATGTATTTCATTCACCACATTGCCTGCTTCATGCTCGTTAAGTAGATGTTCGTTGTGGTATTTGGATCTCATGTTAAGCTTCCGAGGAATCTGGGAGCGAAATGCTAAAAGCACATTGAAGGAAGTCTGAAGAATCGCTGAAACATACATAGCAGAATTAAAGCACGAAAAAAGAGGCGGCATACAATCCGCTGTCGCTACATCAAGGGTGGGTGGGGGAGGCGGAGGGGAGGTGGTGGAAGTCGCATTCTTCATTCGAGAACGCATTATCTATTCCATCAAATCTCGAAAATGACACAAGAAGCTTAGAACGATAGCGAAACACATTCCCATACTATGACGTACCCCCCACCAAGCCACTCATCTCGCCTAAGCCCCTCACTCGTTGTTCCTAGTAACGCCTGAGACAGCCAAACGCTCAACAACCCGCGACCAATAAATCTAGCGACACCGGACGAACCGAAGCCTTACACTATCTTATCTCCGGCGAACGATGTGGAGGTGGCGCTGCGCTTGCTTGGAAGAGCAGGTGAGTATCGTGTGAAGATCAGCTTAGAATGGTTCGCGCGCAATCGTTCCTTCGACTTTGGGAACGCTATAGTAGTTTCGCGAATTCCTCACCAACCACACGGGTGGGTGGGGGAGGCGGAGGGGAGGTGGAGGGGTGGTGGTGGACGTTACCCATTATAACAACTTCGTACCTCGTAGTGATGATATACAGCCCGAGATCAAAGCAATTGGATAGCTGGAGAGGGGTTTAAATTGGATTGGATGAACGGGTTGGATTGGATGGACGGTTTGGAAAGAACGATTGGTACCTTGCATGAAACGGGTGGCGGCTAGTGTTGGCGTGAACGGCTATTGAAAAGTCCAGCTCACATGTTAATCGCAGTGGGTGTTGAGATGGGAGGTGGGATGCGAACCTACCCCGCGATTCATGCTCGGGATGGGATTATTTCGTTGGAATGTAGATGTACATCTATCAAGCCAGCAGATATTAAACAATACTCACGCATCTCCTACAATTCATGCAGGTTGCAATCCTCTTGGGGCCAAACCCGTAACTACGATGAATGCGGCAAGTGCTATCGTGGCCCATTTCTCCGCTGCCCTGCCTGATTTTAAAAATCTAGAGCGTCCCTCGGACCATGATTCGCCGGGAGCGGGTAGCTTTTATCCAGGTACGTGGGTTTTTCTGGCATGATGACGGCTAGATTAATCATTTCGCCAGCTGGCAGTCACTTTTTTTCTTGGTTGCTTATTTACGGCATGCGGCGCGGAGACATTCCAGAATGGTTGTGGGGGTGGAAGGATTCAGGAGTGCATATACAGCGTAGTCAGGCTGCATGATTGATGGGATGGAGCTCGAGGACGGGTGCTAGTATGTTGTAGATGGTAGCTGGTAGAGGTAGCGGTAGATGATTTACGCTTGCTCAGGAGGTTGATGGAGAAGGGCTGCGCTGGTTGGTGGGCCAGAAAGACGGATTAGCGTCGGCATCTAGGCATTGACCTCGTTGACCTGTCATTTCTAACCATCTCATCCTTACGGCTCGCATCATGGGTGGGTGGGGGAGGCGGAGGGGAGGCGGAGGGGAGGTGGTGGAATGCTCGCGTTATCTGTCTATTAGATCCAGGATAGATGATGGTAGGGCTCAGGAGGTCGCCCTGGATAGACAGCGCTGGTTGGATGGGCGTTGAGTGGATGGTCCAGAAACACGATTTAGCGTCGGCACGTATGCGTTGACCTCAGCGCGCGGACCTGTCATTTTCAACCATCTCATCCTTACGGCACGCATCACCCAAGCCATGGTGTCGTTCGTTCCGTGTCCGTTCGCGACTTAGCTCATCGTTATGTTTGGCCCCATTCGCTGCTAGGCGCATGGCTGGTGAGGCGTCGGCTTCCTTCGCCTGGCTGTGCGTGCTGGCTGGCTGGCTGCGGCGACGACAAAGAGCCTCTCTTCCATGCTTCCTCCCTGCCACGCCCACCCAATTAGGACAGCCTCGCTATATCGCCCTCGCCGGCCCATGCACCTGCGGGCTCGGTACCTGAGCTAGACGCCTCCTAGCCCTCAGGAGACCTGGCCTAAGCCGCATTCCGGGTGCTGCTCAGGCGGTGCTGCCAGTGTGTTGCGGAGTGCTTGCTGCTGCTGCCAGCTGCGGGTCACGATCGGGACTATCAATTCTTCATCTTTGCCGAACTACTACCTTTTGCAACTGCAGCTTCAGCTTCCCCGGCCCCACCAGCTGCCTAGTACGTGAGAAACCTTCGCCGTGCCTGGTCACCCAAAGCAAGCAACAGGTGCCTCTTCACAACGACCACGCTGTGCTGACGCCCTGCTCGGTACCTGCTTCGACGACGTCTCACAACGCTGTCATATCCCCTGCTGCTGCTCAAGTGTACTACCCAACAGGTCTCACAGCTTCCCGTCTAGCTGCCTGCGTTTGCGAGAACATCCCGCCGTCAACAAAGAAATCCATCCAGGGCGCCTTTGTCTTCACCACCCGTCGACCCAACCCCGCCGAACGCCTCCCTCGACTCGTGGACGACCTCGACGTCTTACATTGCTGCTACATGGTCGGGAAGGAAGGACATTGTGTCAGGGCTTTGTGTCATTGGGCTTGCTATGAGTTTGGATCAGCACATATATGGGTACGGCTCTCTTCTACCTTCCCATGTGGCGGAAGACGTGTAGCGTTCGGCTGGTGCAACGAGCTTCATCTGCACACCTCCGGCCGTCCTTGGCTTCATGTCATGTCGGACCAGACTATGTCCCAATCCAGGTCTAGGGTAGGCAGAGGTCAGGCAGCACCGCACGGTTGTCACTTGGAGCTCGTTGCCATCATCCCTTGCCATGCTATCCCAAGAATACCTTTCTTTAGACTTCTTCCGCTCCTTCCCGTTCTGTTGATATATTTCACTTTTGGTTTTCCTCATGTCTCGGCTCGCATCTGCAAGTGCCCCAGGCTAACGTGGGTCGCGTGCTAGATCGACGGACTGGCATCTCCCAAGTCCCTCCTCCACTCCCAAGTCGCTGACGTTCACTGACGGAACTCTCAAAACACCAAAGAGCGAGTCGTTTCCCCACTCGCACTTCCTCGACGCCTGGGCCACCCCACGACCTAATGGGCAGCACACCCCGGTGCAGACTCCTTCCTTCACACTCTCGACGCCCATAGGCCGGCCGTCGAGCTCGTACAGCCAACCCGTCCGCACCCCCGAAGACCCAGAGTTCCATGTCAACCACTTCGCACCGCAAAACTTACCTCTTCCGCCGGTCGACGTGTCCCGAAGGCTGTCGTCCTCGCCGGGCCCTAATCAGCTGAGGAAGGTTGGATCACAGGGACAGTTCGGCTCTCGTCCTGTCAGCATGGACTTTTCGCAGATGCAAACGCCACCTCCAACGAGGGACGCTTCGTCTAGGAGGAGTGTGCAACAAAGTGGACATGGGGTGGCAACACCAGCTACGGTAGTGCACAGGACGCCCAGCCAACTGCCGGAATCCTCAGGAGCTCTGTTTGATCAGACACCGTTTGGCTTCGCTGATCTGCAGTACACTCCACATATGATGCAGTTCCCCAGCGGTGGTCCAATGTCTGCGCCACCCATGCCTCAATCGAAGCTGTTCTGGGACCCAGCGAACGATGGCATGCAAATGGATCTAGATGTGCCTCTGGGTGTAGACCCCTTCGGTCCCACCCCGCATAGACCGCAGCACGACATGAACTGGCAAGCGATGAACCATCCTTCGGCTAACATGATGCAAACCCCAGCGTTCCAGGGCTTCCAAGCTTCTCCCATGCCAGCGTCGTTTGCAAATACACCCTCACAGCAGAGACACGGCTCAAGAAATGGCTCTTTTGTATATACAGCTGCAGGTGTCGATCCCAACATGCTGCTCAGCTTTTCCAATCCCGATATGACCGGTTCCTTTGGAAGCATGCCGCAGCAGCCAATGCTCGACATGTCCAGACAACCGTACGAGACACAACTGCGGGATGCAGAGAACGAGAGGGCAATGGCGAAGAAGGCTAAGAGTCAGCATTCACGCAGCAACACAGCTTCGTCGTCGGGTTCAGCGGAAAACGCGAGACCTGTGCTTCAACGAAGCAATACCGATAGTGGGCCGAGAGTAACCAGAGCAATGGATCCTCGGATAGCAATCCCAGCTAATGCTTCGACAATTCCTCGTCGCTCATCGCCACTGAAGCGCCAAAGTGGCGGATCACTGAAAGCGATACCTGAGATCAGAAGACCCCGGACACGGCTCATTATCGACGAGAGTGGTACGGCTCGCACAGAGACGATACCCACTGGAGATGATGAGACCCCCAGGAATAGACGGCAGACTTCGCAGCAAGATCTTCGACGCCAATACCCCGGACTGTACGAGGAGCAAGACAGCGAGTCAGACGACGACGAGCCAGCTCCAATCGTCAGCCGCAACCCATCTTTCGTCATACCCCAACCCGAACGTCGAGCGACGAAACACGCCCGAGCAGACAGCGGTGGACTGGAACGAGCCAACTCCTTCAAAATGGCGCGCTCCGTCTCCGCCTCACGACTCGCATCTGACGCCCTCTCCAAGACCTCTTTCGAAACACTACGATCAACCCGCCGCTCCGCCGCTGTCGCCGCCGAAAACACCATCCGTCGCTCCAGCGCCATGGAGCGCCCCAACCCCCGCGAACGAGACCCCGAAGACACACACATGCCCGACTCCCCCGGCGACGCACTCGGCGCCTTGAAAAAGGTCGTCGGCGCCCGCCAACAACGCATCGGTACGCTAGCATAGCCTGTCGCTTCCCCTTTTCTCGACTGACAAGTTCAGAACGCGCATCTCAAAACACACTGCTCGCGCATAATCAACGGTGGGCGCAGGCGAGTGCCGATATGTCCACCTCGCATCCTCCTCCGTCACACAACGTACTTCAACATTTGCAATCGCACGGCGCTTACGATCCCTACTCTAATTCCTTCAACGGCTCGCCGACGACTACGACTACGCCCTCGACGGAATGCAGCAGCAAGAGTAATGATAGCACGAGGTGTGTGTGCGATGGGTTGGTGGATGATGCCGATACGTTGATGGTGCAGTGCGAGGCTTGCTTCAAGTGGTTGCACATGGGCTGTGTGGGGTTGAAGGAGGAGTGGTTGCCCAGGGTGTTTGTTTGTGTGTTTTGTAAAAGTGGGATGGGGGAGAGTCCGTTGAAGGGGAAGAGGGGTGGGAGGAGATGAGGTGGAAGGAGCTTGCTGTGCGAGCTTGTTATTATGCGTTTGGAAATGAAGATAATGGGATTTATGAGAGATGTTTGAATGGTTGTACAGTTTCGGTGTTTGCGTATCTATGGCATGAAGGAAGTTTCCGGGGCGAGAAGTGGTGGATGGTGGAGAGTAATGAACACGAAATTACATGGGGCATGGCTACTACATCATGTTGATACCACAACGGACTCGTCTTCCTGGAGGGGTGAGGTACTGACAATACAGTGAGTTTCATTTGTTGTTAACGTAGGAAGCAGGGCTGGTGCAGACATTGGCTACATGCCAGCAGTCCATGCGGGATATGGGTAGATGCTGAGCACGACATGCCCGTTACCACCGGAGCGATAACAGCTGACACAACACCGGGAAATATACGTGGTATAGACGCGACAGTTCCGGTTGGGGAAAGAGGCAAAGTAGGCCTCTCGGTACTACACGGCCGCCAACAAGACCAACCGTACCAAAGGCCTCGCCGGCAGGATATCACTCTCAGAGAACCGATGGGCAAGTCCAGATCGGTGTAGCGCATGGACACGGAATTTGGAAAACCACGAGGAGTCCAAGGAGAAGGATGAAGTTCTCAAGCCCCCATACAAGACGCCCCGCCGCGTAGCAGAGCTACCTCGTCAACGTCCCCCCGTTGGCCGTAGACCGCAAAGACTTCTGGCACAGTCTCCAGGTTGCTGAGATCAAGGGCAGCGTATTTGCTGAAGAGTTGCCCGAATAAGGATACCGGGAAGGTCTGGTTAAGCAATGACGGGCTGGACGTACTGAATGTGGAAAGGGACGACGGCGGGATGCGATTAGAGGACGTCGACTTCCTCTTTCAAAACTAACAATGCCTCAGCGCTTGAGGACAAGCCCCGCTTACCGCGTGCTCCTTCCGTTCTTCTTCAGCTGCAGGTTCTTTGTTAGTGACGTCCATCTAGACCCAACCACCGCATCTTGTATACGGTGTACGTGGTTTTCCAAATTTTCCGTCTCCATGCGCTACACTAATCTAGACCCAAGCCACCATGTGAGAGCTTTTGTATAGGGTGGTCGAAGACGTCTGTAGATGGTGTGACTTGCGGTTCCCTAGGACGGTCCGAGGAAGTGACGTTGGTACGCGGAAGGAAAGGACAGCACGCTCATACAGTAGCGGGAAGGCTTCGACCTCGCCTCTCCCCTAGGCCGACGTAAGCGCAGTTCCGCGACTTCTCCAAGTCTATCTCCTCGCAGTTTGTGGGTTGGAGGCGGCTGCATAGTTATCTTGCGCCTTCCTGCTACACTGCGGGAAGCTGACATCGTTTCTTCTGATTAGTGACGTCACGCTCGTCGAGCAGCGACAATACAGGCGATACTCATTGGCTGTAGTACTGCAGAAAGTGAAAGAGTATCATATGCCCTACATGTGTGTAGCTGAACCAAGAGTCGACCCCGATCCTTTCGAATGAGCGGTTATGCTATAGTAATGTGCGCAGATTGGGTGGGTAGTGTGGCAGTGTCTACCATAGTTCCTCCCTCGGCAAGGCCTCGCACTTGCTCTATAAAACCTGTCGCGCTCCCCCCTTCTGGATTTGCACCTCAAACACTCCTGCACATTTGTATCCTATCTCAAAGCACGCACCAGGCGCTGACGTAGCCATCATGTTCGATAAAAAGGAGACCACTCCCCTTCTCCCTCTTGTTTCCTCTTCACCACCGCCATCCACATTCTTCACAGACATTCATAACTACGAGATCGAAGACAAAACGAGCACAATGCCCAACTCACCACTCACCCCACCGGCACCGGCAGGTCCCACCCCTCCTGCCACTCCAACCTGGGCCCAAATCGTCAATCTTTTCGAATCCACTCCACGATGGGTCAACCCAGCCAACGGCGAACGCAGCCAAGAAGCCCAAGCCAAGATCGACCATGACGACCAGGCAAATCAGCAAGCCAACAAGCAGACTGCATGGGCTTTGGTCTTTCTCATCGTCAAGGGCACATTCCTCCTCCTCATGATCTGGCACGCAGCCCCCCTCGCTAAGACTGTTATCGACACTCTATCGGCTTAGGTGAGCCTAGCCACGCATTTGTGAAGCAGGGGAACTATGCTAACGTCTTCTTTATAGAAAACCTTGAACACAACCGCAGCGCGCGATGCACTCATCGAGGACGTGCGTAACGACCTGTTCAACGATGTCACGAACGAAGCCCGCGATAAGCTCATTCAAGAAGTCCGCGACTTGGTGTACAACGACGTCATGGGCTCCGTCAATATCATCATCCAAGACTACATGTCGAATCAAACAAACGAGTGAGAGTGATGGGGATTGAGTCTACAGTTAGATAGGAAGGTTATACATTAGCACAGCCTAATAGGAAGCCTCGCTACAAGCAACCAACTTCTCTCTTCTGTTCATCATTGTGAAGCTTCTCCCTCCCACTGACACCGTACACAACCGTGTTCACGCCTCTACATACCCACTCACACGCCGTCAGGCAAGAGCGCCTTTACTCCCACCAACAGAGACAAGATACAGCACAGTCGTGTCTAACATAGTGCGAGTAGTTTATGTTTTCCTTGTGTAGAGACAACGTCGTCTCCGCGGTCCCTTTGCGCCGACGCAGTGATACATGTCGTCAGTGCATGTAGCCTCCTCGATGAAGTTTGGCCCGACAGTGTGAAATATCACAGCAGGATCTCACCGTCCAGCTTGCGGGTCTCACCCCCAGAAGAATGTGGGATCAGCTACTGCTGGTATGATAGGCTACGGGGCCGTAGGCCCTGGAGTTGTTGTGACATGGGGTGGGCATACAGCACGGGACCATGTCGCGTATCCACTGGGTGGTCGTCATCACGACCTCATCGGTACAGAAAACTGACAATGCCTTAGGACGAGTTTCCCAGCAACGGATGGTTTGGCACGACCTACAAGCTAAGCTGAACAACATGAACCACACCGTCAAGTTACTAAAATTGGTTTCCGACAACGAAACCGTAGCACACCGCACCGACCGTCTTGCACTTCGCAGGGAGTACAAGAAATGCCTCAGGATGCACCAGGATCACATTCGTCAGGGAGCTGTAGCCCAACTCGCCGAAGCAGAAGAAGCTCTTGATACCGCATCTCGCCAGACAGATTACTCGACCACCGCGCTTCAGGGCCTCCGCGATCAAGTGAGAAACCTTCAGCAGTACCAGGAAGGTCTGCAACCCACCGAGCCGTGGTCGTTTAGAGAAGGAGATCACCAGCTCCCCCGACTCCAAGTCACCGCACCAGTGTGCATTCATCAAGACGTTCCCTGCAGCCGTTGTCGAGGCTCATTCCGAAGTCAAAGAGATGGCAAAGGCCATCGATGACACTCTCGCTCAGCCTGCGCAGCAGGTGGTTCAACCCACCCAGGCGGCTACAACCGCGCCCGCCCCCGGGGCCTGCTCCTTCCGTTCTTCTTCAGATACAGAGAGTGCGAGAAGCTGACATCTACCTCGTCGTGCGCCGGAATGACGACAACACTAGGGCGAGGAGACTCCACTCAGCTTAAATAGCGCTGTATCTCACCATCTGCAATCGATTACGAGCTGCAAGGACATCGATTTCCAACACATAACATGTAAACTTCAGCATCGAATGCAGGATTAAATCATAACCGAAGAGCTTTGCAAACGCCTATGGATGTCAGTCACCCGTGGAAGACTTCTCTATATCGGCAGTTCTGTCAAACCCAGATGATACGTCCGCCGCAAGACGACAAGTACTTTCTGACCGACGCCTCTCTGCTCCAGAAAACCTCCAGGGGTCTACATAAACCTCTAGTCTTCGTTTGCGAGTACAACTAAGTACACCCGAAAACAGGATGGAGTTCAGGAGTATGATCGATATGATCAATGGAGGGCGGTTATGAATCTCTATTACCGCAGTGTGAAAGGAGCTCACCACGCATAGCGCACCCGGATCTTATTCAGGCAGATCAGGCGCCTTCCGTGCTTCCGCTGTCAAAGTCTCGTACTCTTCTTCCCGCTTGTCTAACTCCGTTTGCCTCCTCTCATCACGAAGAATTCGATCCGTTGACGTGGAGTGAATCGAATAATCCTCCGGCATCATGGCCTTGGGTCTCGCCGCTGGTGTGCCATTCGACCCCGTGGCCCAATATCCATGCTTGTGTTCATTAGGGAACTCTCCCCATCCTATGTAGTACAACATAACCGAGAACTCAATACCTCAGCTTGAAGTTTCGTCTTCGCCTCTGGGCAAACCATCGTCAGCGCCAAGCACGTAGAAGTTTTGCATCTCCGCCATGTAAGAAGTAGGTATTAAGGAGGTTCGACGATCGGGTTTTATTCAATAAGTTGTAAGACAATGTCGTTCTGTAGAAGTTACGTCGCCTTCGCGGTCCCTTGCGCCGACACGATAAGACGTGTAGTTGCTGTATGCAGTCTCCGCGATAAAGTTTGGTCAGACAGTGTAAAGTGTGACAGCAGTATGTTACCTCCTGGCTTCTAGGATTTATCCACCTATCCTTTGTCACTGTCGCCCACCACGTCTCTGACGTTATATTCCGCCATGTCTTCCACATCACGAGGTTCGAGCTGGAGCTGCACAAGCAACTCGCTGAAGATAGCATTGACCCTCTATGGGTAACATCTCATTTTAAACTGCGAAGCATAGGCCGGTAAGCTACCGCTGGAGCGTCATCCCACGGAGTTGTAGGGGTTGGAGTTGTTGTGGTATGGGGTAGCCATACGCTGCGGGACAATGTCGGGGCCGTGTCCGCTGAGTGGTCGTGCCCACTACTTTTGGATATTCCGTGAGGCACTCAGGCAAGGATGTGTTGCTGGCGGGTGTGTGGCGTCCTTGGCGGAACAAGGCAAAAGCCTGCTTCACCATGGTGTCTTCAGTGTCTGAAATATCGTTCAGAACATCCTCAATATCCGGGCTAACCTCTTCATCCTCGGAATCATCCTTGAGATTCGCGAGATTGCCATCTTCATTGTCGTAATTATCTTCACTCTCACTCTTATGGGATGAGCCATCGTTGACCTCACGATCCCGGACGTGTTCGGCCTGATGAGTGGTACTCTGAGTATCCATATATCCAGTGCATTGAACCGCATGTTGCCAGAGGTCGAAGTCACCACTCGGTTTCGGCGTCAGGGTCATCGCCACCCTCAAATGAGGTCCGCTTGGCCTCGCGACCCCATATTTGAATGCTATGCCGTGTGAGAAGTTCCGCGAGAGGAATACGAACGATGGAAACAACGAACGAAGTTGGCTCATGACGGTGCGGGGACACTACACACACGACAACGTACGACAAGAATACACCAGATTCAAGGAAATCGCGGCTGTACTTGACCACAAAAAGGATAAGGGGTACAAGGGGCCTCTACCCGTTCAGGGTAGTTACCACAGTATGCTGCTTCGGTACGCTATCATCATCGCCGATGAGATAGGTAAGGCCAGCCAATCGCGGTCTAAGACCTCGAAGGCCATGTGCGCACTGCAGGCAGAGAAGAGGATGGGTCTCACTGGAACTCCCCTCGAAAACGATTACGACGAGTTTCAAACCCTCATGAAATGGTTGGGGATCGAGCCCTGAAACGACGCTAAAGTATTCAACGACTACTTCGTCACCAGGAAGCCGAAGAAAACCAAAGCCAAACCCCTCAAGGGCGTAAGAAACGCGATCCTCTCCACCAGCCTACGGGCCTGCTTCTTCCCCCTCGCAATCGACGACACTTTCAATCGAGGTCGCCTCGTTGAATTCTCGCGACACAGCGTGAGAACCACAAAGTTGACACTACCGACGGCCGAGGCGGCACACCAGAAAGAGACAAGACCCATTTGGGGTAAGCAGAAGGGGGACAAGGACAGAGAGCGGTGGTCCGAGAGACTCCGCGTCCGGGCCCTGCCAGAGGTCCTCAAAGCACGTGTGAAGGTTGTAGGTCCAGGTGTGGCCGCTGGGGGGTGGACACCGGGACGGTCTCCGTCTTCCGTCTCCATTCAGTCTACCGGCCAGGACGCTCAGCTGGTAAGCGCTGACAAGCGACCTCCCACGCAAGCGCTTTGGGATGGCGGGGAAGTACTGGTGGTAGACGTCGAGTAGCGGTACCGACACCTGGGCATCGTCTTCTTTGCCGCATTCGATCAGGTTGCAACGCACAACGCTGTCGTGAACTATGAGGGCGAAAGTTACGTGGACATGAGTCACAACTTCCGAAGAACGGTGATAGAGAGGCAGAAGACTTCCATGTCCCAGACGCGGAGCTATGGGTAACCGAAAGAGGTGCCAGAGGCATACATTGGCCACGCACTGAGGGAGAAGAAGCGCATGCAGCCCCCAGGAGCCTACTTAACAGAAGGATGCAAAGCCGCAAGGGAGTAGGAGGAAGCGCGCGGGAGACAAAGCCTTAGCGAAGATGATGAGGGAGCGAACCTTGCCAAAGATTCTGAGAGCAAGGATGAATATGGGGGTGCGAAAGACTTTGAGGGGCTCGGCCTTGACTTAGAGGCGACCATGGGTCTGGCTCACAAAAACATCTTCCTCGATATGAGCCACAAGCAGGCGCGACAGCGTCTCTTCGATAAACCCAAGGACTACTGGAGCTCTGCACGCATCAACACGCTGATGCCGCAGCCCGTCCCCATTCATGAGCCGGCTACGGAGGGCAAGATCATCGTATTAGATGAGTTTCTGCAGTCTTTGGACGTGGTCAGCAAGCGTCGACTTCGAGGAGTGGGAAAGCCTTAGCAAAGAGGAGGCCTACGTCGACATAACCGCGAAAGAGTCCCGCAATTAACTCTTAGAGGAGACAGAGAAGGATTGGCACTCAACACGGGTTAACAAGCTTATCGAGCAGATTCTCTCCCTGCACGAGTCCAAGAGCGAGGGGAAAATCATCATCACTGATGAATTTCTCCAGACTCTCGGCGTTGTTTCCAACGCCTTAAGAGCAACGGGCATCGAATTCTTCGAGTTCAACGGCCACATGAGCTTGAAGGAGAGGGACGCTGTGCGCGAGCGATTCAACGACCCCAAAGACAAAGTCAGGGTCATGCTGGCGACCATTAAGTGCTTTGGTTTAGGCCTGACCCTGGTAGAGGCTACAAATATGTTCATCCTGACACCAAGGTAGAACCCTGCCATTGATGCCCAGGCCGCCTCGAGGATCAACCGGATCGGTCAGAACCGTCAGGTGACTATCTGGACGTTTTATGCACACAACTCAATTGAGCGCTACGTCGAGAAAGAATGGGAAAGGAAGAAGAAGAAGGCTGTTTTGACATTGGATCAGAAGGGGGTGAGTGAGCGATTAAGGAGAAAGATGGAGAGTCTGACCGAAGCGAAGTCTCGTTGTAGTTGTAACGGCCATCCGAACTCTTATGAGCATCTCCAGGATTAATTACGTATACCAGAGGCGTCTGACGGCGGCCGAGGCCTCACACTCACCCAGGCAGCGCAGGTCTCGGTGACTGACTTGGCGCAGCTGGCCAGAACCCACCGCCGCCGGGACACAGACTATCGCCCGAGTGAGAGAGGCCTTCGACACAGCTGCTGGGTAACCGCGAACAAAGCCGTACATATCTTGTGCTGCTAACGCGCAGGCGATCGCCCGAGTAAACAGGACTGGGCAGGACCGAGAGGTCACTGTATGGACGTATAAGTCACCGAACTCTATCGAGGCTTACGTCACAAAAGCCCAAAAGAAGAAGAAGAAGATCAAGGCCAAGTTGGAGTCGCACCAAGAAGGTGTGAGCAAGCATCTGAAAAACCAGATGGCAAATCTGACGACGGAGGCGTTCCGCCACACGCTCACCAAGTTGCGAGTCGAGGGGGCAGCTAGCAAGAAGAAAGCGGCGAAGACGTCACTGATGATGAGGCAACGGGTAGGCTTCGTGAACAGTTCGACTTAGTCACTCAGCAAAAGAAGAACGAAGCCAAGAAGTTGAAAGACTTACGCATCGAGCACACGGCTGCCATGACCCTCAAAGACAAAGAGCGCGACGACATTGTATCTCGCCATGGATGGCGGCAGCTTAGTGACACGTCACCGAGGTGAGGGTGCAAGTCGTAGCAATGTATAGCGGCAAATAGCATGAGCTTGTTCGGGAAGTAATTTGGTAGATCCGGCCTGAGTCCTTTGTCGCGAGGGGTGTTGTAAAGTGCAACCAACCGACCAAGCTACGGCGAGTAGCTAATGCGGTGGAAGACGACTTTAACTGAGTACGAGTAGTGTTGGAACTTCACGAGGGTGCGTGGAGGCGACAATGCTGTTGAGTGGGGAGATTCGAGATACTATTGCGTCGTGACGAGCATACAGTGAGTCCTTGAATAATTGTAACGCAAACTACCTCACCTCTTCGCTATAAACAAGTCGGTACAATAAGCGCGTTCGTCGTAATTGAACAGCTCTACAGAAGGCCGCAAGTCTTCGGAAGATCATAGATGTCCTCTCCACCGAGGAAGTACAGCAACGGCGATTGCCCTCTCGTACCTTCCCCCCTTTACCTCACCCACGACGGTCAAGGCTACCACATGTTGCCGCGAGCTCGCCCTGAATGGTGAAGGGCTCGGAGATAGGGCGAGCGTCGAGTGATGTTGAGAGTAGTGAACACTGAAGCCATGACCGATATCATTGTCGGAAGGGGTTGGCGAATTGGAGGAAGCTTGTATTTCTTCGGTGAGTGCTACGTCGCTTCCAGGATATGAGGTCACAAAGACGTTGGCGTGTTGCTGAGCCGATGTCGGCTGCACACTTGCTTGTATTGGATCTTGTGAGACAGCTTCAGAGCGACGTCGCCCTCGCGGTTCGATGAGTTAAATCGTACATGCCGTCACTAAGCGTTTGTCGGCTTCTAGCTTGCCTAAGCCTGCCGCCTGGAGACTTTACTAGTGAGATGTCGGCCTCTGACTGCTTTACTCCAAGGCTGTTTCACCACTAAAGGTGTTAGTTAGTTCTACACGCCAAGCCGTTCTTTGGACTTACCTACGAACTTGTAGCCAGCGTGTCAGGCAGCAACACTTTGGTGGTCACTACGTAAACGCCATTAGCACCTTGGGGAAGCACCCTGAGGAAGCAACCCAGCGAACCACCCGCGGGAAGCACCCGCAGGAAGACCCTGGTGAATACCTCTTAAGAAGGTGGTTCGTCAAGGTGGCTCCTCAGGGTACTTCCTGCGGGTGGTTCCCCAAGGTATCTCCCCAATGTATCTAACTCCGGTGTTTTGATACCGTAGAACAAACAACGTCATCCCCATTAAAAACCCATCATACAGTAATATCAACCTCACCCCCGTACTTGTTCCCACCACGAACCGTACCCGATGTCTCCCCACCAAGAACTCGGGACCCATATAAAGCCCTAATGGCGCCCAGCACGACCATGCGCAAGCGCTCCTCTGAACTCCCCCGGAACGGGACGCACCATATCATCCACCTCTGCGTCATCACGGGCCCGCTTCCTGGTCCTCTGATTCTAGTTTAGGGAGTCTTGGACCTATAGTGACCATAGGTCGCCTGCGACCCTGGTATCGCGTGGGCCCCAGAGACCTGAATCTGCGCGCTTGTACTCAGCGTACGCGATGTTGCGTTCTTCAGGGACCTTGACAGTCGCACGAAGGAGTGACCTGGTGGAGGAGTTTGTTGAGTCTAGAAATGATGAATCGAAGTATCTGATGGTACCTAACTATATAGACTAGCACTAGCCTAGAAGCACCTACCTATCATGTGATCGCTCCTTAATAGAGTTGACGAAGGCGGCGGTGATCCGGCGGGGGACAGGGAGGTGATAGACTACGAGATTTGGCACGGTGTGTGTTACGAACGAGCGGGTATGCGTATCTAGGTAAAGTTTTGTTTGCACTCGCATGTATGGAGCTGATGACTTGCGTAACATGGATGAGTGAGTGAGGTGGAGGCGAGGCGGTGGACATTGCATCGCGAGATCATCTTGTCCGCGCTCGTCTCCCAGTGATGCGATTACACTTGAGCAACCATCCTGAAAATTAAGCCACCGGCTTCCACGCCTTCCAGCCTTCCACCTCAGCGCCCGCGCTCTCGAGCATCAACTCCACATCTGTTTCAACCTCCCTAGCTGTCTTGTCATCGTAGTCGTAAGTAGAGTGCGCACCTTGCAACAGGACAACCTTGAACCCAGCGGCTATTGCTCCTCTGCATGTCGAAAGCACGCAGCATTCACTTTGTATGCCAAAGGCTACTATCGTGTGTACACCCGAGCTTTTCAGCTGGGAGGCAAGCTGAGGGTTGGAGGAGAATGTGTCACCTAAACACATTCGTCAAGAAATCTCTAGAACTTGACACATACTCACGGACATCCTTCCCCACAACCCTCTCCCATTTACACCCATCCCGTGGCTTAAACACCAACTCCCACGCCTTACTCCCTTTCACCAGCGGTCCTTTCTCAGCACTTTCCTCGTGCTGAACGAATACGATCTCCAAATCTGGTTCTCGTCCCTGTTCGCACGCCGTGTCAATGGCTTGACGCGCTCGCTGCAGGATGCTCGTCCCGGCTTCGCGGATACGATCCGCATGTGGTATTTCGGTCGCTGCGTTTTGCGCTAATTCGACTTGGATGTCGATTGCGAAGAGGGCTGTTCGTGGCATGATGGGTATCGGGTTTGGGGATGAGGAGGGGGGTTGTGATGTTGTGCATGTTGGGTGTATGGCGTATGAGTCATGGTCAGTATGCTGGCGGAGGTAGAGCCGAGACATTCTGGAAGACTACGAGTGCGAAGGAAGTTGGGAGTGCGATTGAGTTGGTGAATCCATCTGTTGTCTTCTGAAGATCTAGGCAATACCAGACTGTACTTGTAGTGTCTCGTCATGGATGGCGCGGGAAGGCTGCTCATTGTTCTCGGTTGAGTAATGAGATGCTAGACGCCGCTTGCAGTAAGTCGAGGGGTTTCGATTGTATGGTGATGCCTATATGGAATCTCGAAAGCTTGAGGCTCTCAAGTCCGCTGACTATACACTGACCAGCTTGAATAATTGAATCTGCACTCATACACGTGATCCGGAAGGTATAAAAGGCAAAGTCGAAACTATCGAGAGTGAGAGCGTGCCAGACTAGGAATAGTGAGTGATGCAGCATGTGCTGGCTATCGTGGTTGTGGTAATTACGAGCGAAGAGGAATTAGTTCAAACAGGAGGGGTAGACTGTGCCCCGCCGCAGAGCCAGCACAGCGATACGTGGACATGAAGTGGCTGGTAAGAAGCTTCGATGAATCGATGAAAGCGTCAACGATATATCGTGAGATTGGTAGCCCTTCTTTGTTTTGACGAGCTTGTGCCACTTGCGATCAGCTTCCTACACCGACCTTTTTACAAAGACGTGAATCAGCGACTCAAAGATTTTCTGCTCGTCGCCATGCGCGCGTGAAACGGTCTGTCTCGTGGTGGGGTACTGGCTATCTTTGAGTAGTCATGTTACATGCTGCAGAATGAGGCTGTACTCGCATGAAGGAAGATCCAGATCCTATCAAAGGCGAGGGTTCTCGAAAAGGCATGCAGGCGGGAACACTACCGGGGCGTCACCCACTGAAATCCGAAGGCTCCATGCTGGAAGGGTTGGAAAGTATGGGGCGCGAGGCCGTTGGTGTACGTTTGGGGTTAGGCGCTAAAGTGTCGGTGTGTAAACAAACTCCAGCACGCTCTTGACACGTCGACAACGCACGCGCTAGCCATCCCAACCACCTCGCAGCCAACCCCCACCGGGTGCCGCCTCGGCTCACCATGAATTTCAGATGATGGGATCCCTGGCCTCCCATTCTATCTATCCTGCAATTGTTCCATCTCACAAACTTTGAGTTACACATTGCGAAGAATTGTTGGAAGAAAGGTCGATATGGCTACTACCATGCACCACCCGTCTCCCCAGCCGGGCCTTACCTCATTCGCCATCTACGAAGACCCACAGGATCGCGAACCCTTGTCGCCTTCGGACTTGTTCGACGGCAGTGACTCGTACCACTCCGAACGCTCGTTCCCCATGGCCCACGACGTTGTACATAGCATTGAGCTGGCACAGCAACAGGAGCCCGACGACGAGCCCCAGCCCTACCGCAGCTCCTACACCTCGCGCCCGGGGTCGCAGCAGCGCATGTCCTCGCACTACAGCTTCGTCTCGGCTATCCCCTCCGAGTCGTCGATAGCTTCGAAACCCATCCTGCCCGCTAACGAGGCCGGTGCACGAGCACGCAAAGAACGTCCGCGCTTCCGGAATACTGAGTCTGTCCGCGCCATGCAGATGTCGTCGCCGCCGCCCACACTCGCACACCAGACCTCCCAGGAGCGACTCAAAGGCTCTTTCAAGCTGGCTACACCTAGCAGGAGCAGCCGATCAGAGCACGACATGTCGAGACAGTCTACCGGCTCACGGAGAAGGAGCATACGGGAGCCTCATAGTCCGAGACCGACCCCGACACCGCAGCAGGCGCCGCTGGTCCTGTTGCATGTTACCATTCTGCCCATGCAGGTACCGTACTCGCACGACATCATGGCCAGGATCATGCCTGATTGGCTGGTGGAGAACTACAAGCTGCTGGAGGAGAAGCTGCAGGACATCATCCTGATGCGACGCGGCCTTCTCATCCCGCACCCCAGGGACGAGTACGACCTGCTCGAGGAACGCATACTGGAAAGCTTGGAGCTCAGAACACCCCGCCTGCTCCCGTGCGGCCACTTCGTCCCACCCGAAGACGAGGACGAGCGGGAAGACGAGGACGATGTCGCGAGCGTCGGCGACGAGAACACCGGACGGGGCAGTCGCATGAGTGGAGGCACACTGACGGAAGGAAGCAACACCTCCCACAACGGCGACCACAGCATGTGCATAGACTGCCATCGCGAACTCAAGAAGCCCGGCAAAGGCATCGGTGCCGGCACACGGAAATGGGACATCAAGATCTACGCTGCCAACGGTCTGATGCGCGCCGCCGCCTGGCAAGCCTGCTGGAACGACATGGAAAGATGCGACGTCGAGATCCACCCCTGGATCCCCGAGGAGGTCCGCAAGACGCTCGAGCGCCGCGCCCAGGAGGAGCAAGAAGCAGACAAGCGCAAGGCACAATACACCGTCGAACTGCAACGCCAAATCCAAGAAGCCGCCGTCAAGACCAAGATCCTAGAAGAGGAAGCCAACGAGGCGAAGCGCAAGGAGGAAGCCGAACTACAGAAGAGCTTCGAAGAGGCCGCCGCCGCTCTGCAAAGAAGCATCGAAGAGAAAGCAGCTGAGAGGAAGAAGTTCGAAGAGGACCTCCAGCTCAAGCTCAACGAAGCGAAGGAGGCTGTTCGTCTTGAACTCGAAGCCAAAGCCCTTGCTGAATCCGACGCCGTCGCCCAGCGTCTCCGTGCGCTGGAAACTGCTATCAAGGAACAGGAGAGCGCTGAAGCTGCCACACGTCTCTCGGCAGCTCAAATACCGCTCAGCACGCTGCTGAAGAACTACATCATCCTTCTCCTCAGCGACAAGCGCAACTCTATTATCTTGTTACTGGCTGTTGCGGTTGCGTACATGGCGATGAACATGCGTGCTGCTCAGCAAGCACCCTCGTCAGCACAGATGCTAGAGCTCCCCACCGAGGTTGCGGCGCCCATGATGAATGCCGTCACGGCTACTATGACTGCGACGAGTTACTCTACATTTACGGTTACGGAGTTTGCCACTGCTACTGCTGTCCCGGTTCTTGAGATTGCGGACCCGGAGATCGAGTCTGTGGCTGAGGAAGTGAAGGCTGAGGTTGAGGTTGAGGTTGACGTCGTTGTCGAGGAGAAGGCGCAAGAAGAGATATCTACCAGCCCCGCTGTAGACCTCGAGCTCTTCGACGTCGTTGCGGAGCAGTCTACTCCCCTCGCTGCTGCTGAGGTTGAGGTGAAGACGAACGTCCTTGTCGCTTCCAACCAGACGCCCGCTGAAGCCTCGTTCTGCGCTTCAGAAGTCGAACACGTCTTCGAGGCTCCGCTTGCGTACTGCGCGGCTTCTGCTTAGACGCTCTCCCGCCTTCTTCCTCCTCCTCCTCCATCGCCTTCTCCCCACCCCCATATTCCCTCCTCTTTTCCTTTGTCCTTTGTCATACTTTTCCTTTTTCTTTTCTCTAAGCTTTTAACGCATACCCCCTCACGGCCTCTAGCATCTACCTATCTATATGCATATACATGTGCATTTGCGTTTGCATTTGCATACATACACCACACGATACTATACCATGTTTCATGTTCATGACGTAATGTAGCGGTTTCGATTGAAGATATCCCTTTTCTTGAGCTTTTTTTTTCTTTATGGGTGTGGGTTGGTTGGGTTGGGTTGAGGTTGGGGCATAGCGGGTTGTTGGTTGTTGGTTGAGGTTGAGGTTGAGGCGGAATGGAGTGGGGTTGTTGGGTTGGATAGTTTGGATGTGGATGTGGATATGGATATGGGAGTATATACCAATACTGAAGAATGAATGAAGATATGAAGTGTTGCTTATTCTCTGCTCCCCTTATTAAGACGGTTCCCGTTGTTTTAATCCCAATTGGCATTGCGCGAACGATACAGTTTTTCCTCTCCTTCCCACGTATCTAGATCTTGAAGTCTTAGGCGTATCGAGAAACCATGTTCCATCACTTCAACCACACATCATCTCACCTTTCTCCCTCCTCCCCCATGCATCCAACCGCCAACGCCATCTCTCACATAAATCATCACGTACCCTAATTCCACTGATCCCACTCCTCCTCCCTCCAAGTCACCGGCTCAAGCGGCCCCTCGACCTCCAAAATCTGACCCATCGCACACTCATCAAAGCTAACCTTCGTCTGCTTCTCCAGGTAAAACACATCGTGCCTTCCATGCATAGCATCTTTCAGATTACGTACATTGCCCTCTGGATGCAATTTCTCCCACGGTCTCGTGCACACACGGCCTTTGCAGCGCTTGAGCGTGAGGAGGAGGGCGTCGAGGCGGGCGGTTAGGGAGGGGATGGGCCAGGTGTTTATGGTGGTGGTTGTGTTGGGTGTGGAAAGGAGGTTGGTGAGTTGGTAGGGGTCCGTCTGCCATCCTTTGTTAGTACCCATTTCCCCAAGGCTTTAGAGTATAGATTGAGGGCGAGAGGGGCAGAGAAAAGAGAATGAGACAAACCTTGATATCATAAAGCTCATGCTCATTCGTACACCAAACCGTATAACTCAAATCATACTCCTCCCCCACCACCCTCACCGTCTTATACGTATTCTCCCCCCAAACATCTCGCCCATAAAATGTATTCCCCTCTACCAAATACTCGCCCCAAAACTCAATGTTGACGTGTTCGCTCTTCCCACCCCTTTTCTGCATCTCACCCGTAACGGGGATGGGCTCCCCGTCAAAGTCCTCCCGGGCTGGTATACCAGCGAGATGGAACAGTGTAGGCACGATATCCGTGTGACTACTCGGGATATTTTGAACTGCGTTCTTGGCAACGCCCGGGCCGCGGATGAAGAAGGGGATGTTGATGTCTTCTTCTATGCCGCAGGATTTTCCGGGTGGGAGTCGGTGTTGGCTTATGTGGAAGCCGTTGTCGGTTGTGTAGATTAGGTAGGTGTTTTCTAGGACGGAGGGGTGTTGACTGAGACGGTCGATAATGGAGTCGATGAGGTCGTCTACGGATTGTAGGGTCTGTAGGCGTGCGCGGTACCAGGCGTCGTTGTAGGCGATTTCTGAAGCGTTGAGTGGGCGCAGGGTAGAGAGGTAGGATGCTGTTCCTGGCTGAGATAAAGATGTGAGGGGAGGAATTTAGTACGGGGGAGAGGGGATTGGCTTACTTTGGAAGGATTGAAGTTTGGTGTCCTTGGTACTTTCACATCTGGAAAGAGGTGTTCGTGTCGCTTCGCAGGGACGGGTAGATTGAACTTTGTGGGACGTGGGTTGGTGATTGTTTCTGAGTGGGGGGCTATGGGCGCGACGCCGATGAAGAATGGTCGGTCGGGTGCTGCGATGGCTTCGTCTAGGAAGGAGACTGCGGCATTGGCTACTAGGTCGGTTGAGTATTCTCCTGGTAGGTTTCTGTAGATGTCGTAGTTGCGCGTCATGGTTGAGTTGTAGAAGACGTATGTTCCGGGGTCAATCAGGACTGTAGATGTCAGTGGCTGGAAAGCTTCGCTGTAGTGGTATTGGGATGCTTACAGTCAGAACCATTCCAGCCACTGGCTCGCGGTGCATCGTAGGTAGAGATGGAGTGTCCATTCATAAATTTACCAGTGTAATACGTGTTGTAGCCCGCCTCCTGAAGCCACACCGGAAGATAAGCATCATTGAAACCTTCCTCGATGAACCTAGGATATCCGCCTGCTGGTAGTCAGTACAGTTTTCTAGCGTATCCCCTTTATTCCCGACGTACCGTAAGGAGCTGAGACGTCTGTGACATTCGTGTTATGAGCAGCTTTCCCCGTCAAGAGCGACACTCGTGATGGACAGCATAGTGCTACGGTGCAGAAATGCTTCTTGAACCAAGTACCTTCCTGGGCGAAATGCTTCTGCACAGCAGGTTGGTAATCGAGCGAGTTCAAATGCAAGTCTTGATCGTCGGTAATAATGAAGATGAAGTTGGGTTTGGAAGAGCGCACTGTAACAGCGGCTACACCGAAGGACAGTAACAGTAAGATTTGACTTGGAATCATGGTTCTGGGCGAGGGTTGAGCCTTTTGGAATTCACAATATTGATATACCCCGGGTTTTGTTTACACTCTGACGTATCTGGGTAGTCGCGACCCACGCCCATCGCGCGAAGTTGCAACTCCATTGCGTGCTCGGGAAGCAGACCAGGGTTCAGCACAGTCCCACTCACGATGCATACTAGTAGACATAGCTGCCAATAGGATGGAAGGGAAAGTGATAACCGACGTGAATGGAATGGAGCTCTAGTCTTGAAAGGAGAAAGAACTTGACAGTATGAGCTTATCGTGAAGCAGGCTGAGGAGCGTGCTTCCGATCTATCTGCCGGTACACAGCAGATCTACCTGTATAGAGATATGACAAGGGTGAATTTGCAAAGAAATCTGAGATGACTGGAAGTACTGGGTAAGGAACCCCGTCGGCCTTACGCTAGCCATACCTAGGTGGCCTTGGATACGGTTGGAATGAAGTGAAACTTTAGAACGGTACCTAGGTAGACGTCATTGCAGGGCTGCTGCGTCGACTCCATGCTGTGACCATACCAATACATGCTCGCCAAGACCTTTGTTCTGTGACACGAGAAGATGATTCCATGAATACGAGCGATACCGAGTAGAGGGTCCGACGCATGGGACGACCTTGTTCACTTCAATTCATAGTGGGGCATCGGAACGTTCCGAAGCGCGGGCCGAGGAGTTGTTCCGGCGGCGCCTGTCGATGGCGTAGGTCCAAACACATCGACAACACACTCGCGCACCTCACCGCTCTACTTTCACGCAACTATGTCGGGAGGCTGGAACACAATAGAGTCTGATGCGGTAAGCCCGCCACCACTATACCTCAAGAAAAGCGCATACTAACAACCCACAGGGTGTCTTCACATACCTCATCGAGAAGCTCGGTGTCAAGGGCGTAGAGTTCGAAGAACTTACCACACTCGAACCTTCAGACTTACAAGCTCTCGGTACGCTGTATGGTGTCATCTTCCTCTTCAAGTACCCGACCGGCGAGAAACCCAGCGACGTACCGAGAGACGGGTCGTATGACTATGAGGCGGCGAATAAGCTCTTCTTCCCCGCGCAAACGATACAGAATGCGTGTGGTACACAAGCGATTGTTTCGCTGCTGCTGAATAGGGAAGAGGAGGTTGACATCGGCAAGGAACTGAAGGAGTTCAAGGAATTCGCAGGGGACTTTCCGCCCGAGGTACGTGAAGGCAGGGACTGGGTGCTTTGGATATGAGGGGCTGATAAGAGGCATAGCTACGAGGAGAAACACTGTCAAACTCGGACCTCATCCGCGAAACCCACAACTCCTTCGCGCGCTCCTCGCCTTTCGTCGACGAGACACAGCGGACGGCTACTGAAGACGACGATGTCTTCCACTTCATCGCGTAAGTTCCCACGCTATCCATCTATCTCCCACAGGTCACTAACACACACCCCCAGCTACACATCCATAAACAACAAACTCTACGAACTCGACGGCCTCCAACCCGCGCCCATCCTCCACGGCCCCTGCACCCCGAGCGACTTCCCCAACAAGATAATCCCCGTCCTCCAACGTCGCATTGCGCGCTACCCCCCCTCGGAAATCCGCTTCAACCTTATGGCCTGCTGTCGCGACCTGCGCATCCGCGCACGCGAGATAGGCGACGAAGATGAACTCGAAGAGCAGGAGGACAAGCGCGCGAAGTGGCTATACGAAAACTCTCTGAGGAGACACAATTTCGTAGGCTTTGTTGGCGAACTATTGAAGGCCGTTACCAGGGCGAAGTTGCAAGAGGGTGATGGGGCGTACGACGCATGGGTTGAGGATGCGAAGAGTAGGGCGAGCAGGAAAAGGGAGGAGTTGAAGAAGAAGGGTATCCAGCCTGAGGAGTGAGCGCGGCCCAAACTCAAATCACAAGACACTACTAGCATACACGAAGAGACGACACCACTCGACCAGTCAAGCGACCAGACATAATGTAAGGAAATGTAGTGGATCAATGTTCCACCACTGGTACGCTTGCTACTACCATTACACCCAACAGAGTCACCATCTCGCTTCCAACCCCCAAACAGAACTAGGTACCATACATCATCATTGCAACCCGCGCACTTCCAACCTTCCCCCCACGCACACACACCAGCTATGAAAGCGTAAATCCCAGCCCAAACTTCCCTCGGTATATATACCACAGTAAAGCATTCTAAATCAGCTCATCAGCCGACAACATAGCGGAACGGATAAAGCCATCAAAAGCTTTATCAACAAGATCAAATCCATTTGGGTTGTCTTGGTTCGATTCCGCATCTTGACTTCGTGTCGCTACGTATCAAACTTCTTGATCCCGTGTGTTGAGGTATTGAGCTAACTTCTTCACACAGGTAAGTAGGTGAAGAAGGAAAGCATGATGTCTGGTGTTAGGGTAAGTTTAGATATGGCGGTGCTTGTAAGAGGTCTAGATTCGGTAAAAGGTAAGCGTAGATTGCAGATGTGTAGTGAGTATTATAGTGCGCCGGGATGGTGGAAGAGTCCTGATGCGAGGGATTTGCCTGTGCCGAGTTGGTTGGGGAGGAAGAAGGGGTGTGGCAAGGTGAGGAGGGGTTGTGAGTGTAGTGGGTGTGTGGATGCGGTGAAGGAGTTTGGGGAGAGGGAGAAGGGGCGCGGACATAGTGTTGGTTGAGAGTGATGTGCTAGTTTGCAGAGAGGTAGGTAATGGTTAATAGCATGGTGTTATTTTCTTGATTAGACATGTGCAAATTCTTGCGAATAGACTCAAGTTACACTAAGCTCTTTTCTAATTCATGTATCTCCGTAATTAATCTTGTTTTCACACATTATTTTAGGTAGACGTATCTTACTATTACTGTCGCAACTTACTCTTCGAAGAGATCTTACTCTGACACCGTCCGACCAGTGTCAATACTGGACCAACGAAACCACCCCTTCTCTTACCGCAGTTTCGAAGATCAGGGCATCCACTCACTACTCCCTGTCTCGAAAAAGACACGAAAAAAGACACGAAAACGGCAGGATACATGCCCATCATCGGCAAGTCCGAAGAGCATTCCTCGTCAACACGTCCCCGACAAGATGACCCATGAGAATAGGAGCACGTGTAGCTAATTACCAATTTGGATCCCCCTTGTATCTTCTCAGCACGCAAGAAGTGTAGTAGTCCAGACCAGAACCACACAATTCGCATAGCGTCCAGAGGTAGTTTGCCGTTGACCCAGGAAGCTAGAAATAAGTATTTCAACATACGCATAGAAATACACCACCCCACATCCCCATTTCCCTCGGCCGAGAGTTCGACAAATCCCATCAAAACCCGAAACAACATGCATGCAATTCCCATGTGCAGCTAAATCCCCCCACCCTTTCACCAGCGTAACCACATCGGAAGCCAAGGCCTCAGCTCCTACCATCCAACATACAAAAATATACCCAATCGACATCATCAAATCCCACACCCTCCAATCATCACCCTATCGTCCCTGGCCGACCGACATCTTGCTGCTCGCGCCAACCTCGTATTTCGGAGTTATAAAAAAGTCTTACCCTACCCACATCCACGTTCCACTACCGTACTTTCAGCCTCACGCATGCATTAATGGCAGCGCCGCGCTAATGGGACGTGCCGTAAATACGAGAATGTATGACGGTACCGAGTAGAAGCCAGTGCAGAAGCTACGCGTCGCGTTCGAAGCGATCAACACCGCGTACGACACCCAGTCACGTTACCTAACGTAGTTCGCCCAACTTGCGAGGGATGTAGGACCGAGAGGAGGCCGTGCGTTTCCACTGTTTTCTCAGGGTTGAGAAAGGCTTGTTGGGTTTGGGAGGTTTGTCGATGTACGATGTATGAATCATGTCTTACACGTTTGTACGCAGGGGAAAAGATCTTCAACAGCTATGTTTCACGCCTGCCACGCGGTGTACACCAAGTGTCTTTTGGACTGCTCGAGTTGGGATCGATGTGTTTAGTAGTAGCGAAGGCAGCGGTGCCATGAGTGCAAGTCCCATGATGCCACGATATGCGTTGCACTTCCAGATACACACGCTACGTGTCAGTGTATTCGCTGATCCCTTTTGCAACCTCACCGTAAGGTAACATCCTCACTACCATAATAGCAATACATAGTAGCACAGCAGAGTCGCAATCGCAATCGCAGTCGCAGTCGCAGTCGCATACACAGTACCAGCAGATCTACCATCCATCGGGTCAACTCCCCCCGTCTTAGATATGCCCGCATACAGCTTAGCCCACCCCCAAAACCCCAATTGGGGGGTTTGGAGACATAGAAAGCATACAAAGGTGAGGCTTAGCTCCCCGACTAGTAGTCAGTTATCGGAGTATGGGCGTGGGCGGTCGGAAGGAAGGAAGGAATGCGGGAATCGACTGATAATGACATCGTGGGGTGCTCCGTCCGGCAATCAGTTCAGGCAGATGTGCGGGCGAAAAGGGTGTGTGTGTGTGTGTGTGTGTAGGAGATGTCTCCGCGTGCTGATGGTTGGGGGTCGACGTAGAGTTTAGGCAGTTGGGTGTTAGTCTTCGCGAACTTATTTAGTTAGCAGCGTCGACGGTCGGGTTTCGCTTCCAAAGCTTTTGCGCAGAAACGTGGCAATGCGACGCGGCGTTAGAAGAGCGCCAGAAACGCCACAACCCATCGGATCGTGCTTGTCCGAGGTGAGGTGAACCAGAGGAAAACAAACTTTGGCATCGTGGCATTCTCCGCGAAAAACGCGCCATGGCGATGGTAGTGAGCGCGACACAAGTCGGGGACAGGCCAGCCACACAGTCTAACGCAGCTCTGGTGTCCGTGCCAGACGCGAGGCTACTACTCGTTCTTTCGTTCAGCCACCCCTTAGGTACGCGCGGATCATGTCGTCGGTCGGAACTTTCTCCAGCATTCGGCTTCATCACGCCTAGGTTCATGTACACACAGTACATGATGTACCTACAGCGACCGACCGACCCTCCGCCTCGGCTCGACATGACAATGACCACGCTGAG